GAAGCATGATTATTGTAACAGTGCCTAAATAAGTGATTCTCCACCTTCTTAGATTGAAGGCCTGTGCCTCAGAAAATGCCAGCTCTTAGCTTTCACTTGTTTTTTTTTGAATACGGAAAAATAAAAGCAATTTTTCTGTTGCGGAGAGCTCATAAAGGCCATGCAGGGCTGAATGGTTTTGAAACTACTGATTCCTATTTCAGATCTCAGGCAGGCAAGGTTCTTTGGGTAAACTTGTTATCTTTTATTATTTATTAGATGCACTCAAATAGTTGGAAAAACTCTTTGCAAGTGTGGCGGGCTTGCCAGTAGCAGCCTGGTTTGCTGGCTTGGAAGGGCTCCGAGAGATTGGTGGGGCGTTCCCACCAATCAGGTGATAGAGGAGGGGCTTCCCCCGCCCCTACCTAGGGGCGAGGCGAAGAGCTGGACCTGAGAGGGGACTAACCCTCCCCTGTCTCTTGATTCATTTGTTTTCAATTTTGGGGCGGAGCCCCTGAAAAGGATAAAAGTGCAGCATGCCTGGCACATGGGTGGCTGCATCGAGGGATGGAGAAGAGGGCAAAGAAGAGCTGGCCAGTGGGGTGGAGCTGTTGTCCTGGAAGAGCCCAAAGCTTCCAAGTTGGGAAGGGAGTGGCGAAGCAACCGTGCCCTCCCAGCCCTGCCATGAGGGAGCACAGCGAGCAGTGCATGGGTCAGTGCATGGAGGGTCTGAGAGGGACCGAGACCCCGGAAGCTGCACAAGGCAGCTCAGGTCTCCATCCCCTTCCACGGGGTCAGGCAGTCGATGCATAGGCAGGTGCATGGAGGGTCCGAGAGGGACTGAGACCATGGGAGCTCCCCGAGGTGGCTTGGGTCTCCAAGCCCTGGCACAAGGCCAGACACACGGTGCATGAGTCAGTAACTCACCAGATCTCGAGAGATTCCCACAGGAGAGGTGGGAACTTCCCTCCATCATTTGGGACTATCAGCTGTAGGGGAAGCCCCAAAAGGGGAAAGGCTCCTTGGGTTTATTGGAGGTTTTCATCGTGAGCTATTCAAGCTGTGTTGCATCCTTGAGGGATTCCACTATTGCTCCAGGGTAACCTGGGTTATTCTTTTGGTTTTCCTGAGAATCTAAGTTTGTGCATCCATTGCCCTGCATCTTATATTTTGTGAATCCCACACCTTCTATTTTGCAAACTTGCACCTCATGCTTTGTAGATTAGTATTTCATTAGAGTATAAGATTGCACGATGTTTACTGAGACCTTTGCTTTCCAGATCCCTCACCTGCATCCAGAGTATTTGCACAGAGTTATATATATATTGCACACAGTTCCCATGTCTTTTATAGATATATATAAATGTTCCGTTTTTAACTCTTCATATATATTAATACATTTGTATATAGTTAAGTCTTAAGATGTGTCCCTGCTTTATAGGGGAAGGAGGGAACTGCGCGCAGTAGGCAGTTTCACCCCACGGCACACCTGCCCTACTAACATTCCCTTCTGCATTTATCTTATGAAACATGTGGAGGTATTTGTACACCTAACAGTGCTAATATTGCGTGGCACCCTTCAAAGGGATCTCGGGAAAACCTGGTTGAGAATCATTGGCTTAAGGCCTAGCTCAGAATGGGACTCCAGTGTGCTGCACACTGTACAAACCTGGAGAGGTAGACTGAGAAACCCTGCCCCGAACATTTTATAATCTAACAGACACAGGGGAGGGGAAGAGAGTGTACACCAGCTTATCCCCAACAACCAGTTAGTTGTTAGGGATAAGCATGGACAACGACTGGTGCCCTCTGAGTCTGGGGGGATACCAGTCAGTGTCAGCAGCAGGGACGGGGTTGGCGAGCACCCGCAGAAGCCGCCAGTGGCATTGGCGGTGGGGGATGGCCCTGTTGGGGGGGGGGGCACATGCCCCCCCCATGCCCTCTCTACCAGTCGCCTATGGGGATAAGCATAACAGAAAGGAAGAATTGGGGTGAAGATGCTGAGGGGAGTTGCAGGTGGGGGGCAGCACGGGAGAAGCAGCAAGCAGTAGCAATAGGAGGAACAGAAACTAAATATTTTAGATCTCTCTAATGAGCCCAGTCAAACGCTTGGCTTACAAAGCGCATGCGTGCCACTGTGTTATTTTGGAGCCAGGCTGCCTACATTTGACTATCTGGGTTTTGATTTCTTGAGTAGGCTTTTCTCTTTGCTGTTAGTAGAACTAGGCTAGGTTATGCTTGTCAAAAATATACCCTTGTGTCTCAGGTGATTTTCCTCGGTGATGGACAAAGGTAGTACAAACCATTGAAAACACATTTCCATACAGATGTGGGTGCCTGGTTTTTAATCACACCAAAGAGCATCCTCAGCTGCATGTCCCTGAGTGATCCTATTATAGGAGTGTTGGACTGGAAGGGGCTTCCTAGACCATGGATGTGGCTCCTGCCTTCACAGAAGGTTGTTAATCCAGTTATTCTGCAGGTTTTGATTTCATTGGGTCATCATTGGTCTGAGATGGCAAATTAAGCTCCAGACTGGAGCTCAGAGGGTTTCCGATCCAAAAGCTCAGCAGTGAGAGAGCTGCAAAGATCCAGAGCAAGACTTCCCTGAAGATCTAAGGGCGTTTGGCTTAGAAGCCCTGGTAGGAACCCATCTCTAGTAATTGTGTGATCATGGTAATTATACACAAAAAGTTCATTACTTAATTATGTGTAATGAGCACCCTTCAGCTACCATGTGAGGCATGCATTATCCCAGCTATTTAGAGGCATCTAATCCACTTCCTTTTGTATCACATATTTTATTAGTGGCTCTACGTGTCTTCTCTGAGGTGCTTTGCAATGGTTCAGTGACCAGATTTCATCTCATTTCTTTCTGGTTGCTACCAGTCAAGCCTGTCTCACTACAAATATTGTTCTGAGTCTTATCCCCTTCCCAAGAGTTGGGATTTCCCAGTAATCTTTCCACTTCCAATAAAAAGAGGTATTTAGCTGTATTCATCTGAAGTCAGACAGAAGGCAGGGCAGGATGGCACTGAAAGACGATATTCAGAGAAGCATGAGCTTTCATAGGCGACAGCCGAATTCATCAGATGCTATGAATGAACTAATGGGCTCAGGGAAGATACCAGAGGCTAAATGCTTATATTTAGATTGGAAATAATTTAGGGCAGAGGTTTACGTTCTGTTCTGTGTGTGTACAGCACCTAAAACCGTTCAGGGTCTCGTCCACAACCGGGACCTTTGGTGCTACTACAACTAAACAGTAAATCACACCTAAGGGAATCTACTAGCATCTCTCATCGTGTATGTTGGCACAAAACCATTTACTTCACTGAACATAAGAAGTGCCATGTTGGGTCAGACCAGTAGTCCAGTATCCCTGACAATGTCAAGTAGTCAAGGTTTTGGAGGGAGACTATATGGATGAGGTATGGCTGGAGCGATCGGTCCCCTGTCAGACCCTCCCTGGCATCAACCAGTTTTGGCCTATGTTAGAAGACACATACCTGACTGCTTTATTTAATAGTTCCCAATGGAGCTGTCTTCCATGAATTTGTCTTTATAAACCCGATGATGTTATCTCTCTGGCTCTGCAACCTCCTGTGGCAATGAGTTCCCCAAGTTAACTATAGACTTGGTGGGAAAAAAAAATGGCTTTGGTTTATTTTATTACTGCTTTTAAGCTGGAGTCACTCCTGATACACTCCAATGTGAATGACTGGAGAAACCTATCCCCAACTTTCCAAATGCATGTAGAAAAAAATTGGGATTTCCTCCATGTCCTGAAGTCTTCGGTGGCTTTAAACCTGATCCAGAAAACAGGCCACTTTTGCTTTTGTATCTGGCCCACTGCATGGGGGGGGGTCTGTGTCTGGCAGCCCCCTTTGCTCCTCGTCTAGTCAGGTGTGGTCACCATACAAAAGAGAGTCAGCAGATAAAATCAGGCAACTCTACATCAGCAGATGATGTCTTGTGCAGAATCCCAACTTCAGGGCTTGAGCACCACTGATGTCCTCCAGGAAGGTTGAATTTTCACAGAAACCACCCCCCTCCTAGATAAATGCAAGCCAAAAAGCACTGAGAAATGCACCCCATAATTTATCCTGAAAAATGTTGCCACGGTACCCTATTTGCCTGTTTGGTTCAGCCTCCCCAAATAGACTACATCTCCCATGATGCACCATAGGGATTTGTCCCGTCTCATCATGACATGCCATTGTGTCTTAATAAGGTGGGTGAGCTCAGTGCATTCTGGGAGTTGTAGTCCTACCAGACAGCCTGGGCTGTAGATGAGCATGGAGACACAAAACATTGGATGGCATCTCCCGTGAGATGCCAAAGTGATGTTTACAGATGGAAATGTTCGCTTTCTCTCATTTCCCACTAAAATGTCAAATATTTTCATAGAGAAAGGAACCCATTTTCCAGCCACCCTTGGTGTCACAGGCTTGTGTTGAACCTCTGCACTGGGCTGAATTTCACTCTTGAGTTACTTAGTAAAATGCAGTAGATGCACTTGTCTGCACTATAAATGGAAGGGATTTGGTTTCCTTGGCAGATACCATAGAGCAAGCATAATCAAATGTAAGTTTTTAATAGCAGTGAAGAAATTGTATCACATTAAGTCTCTGAGGCTTTTGAACAGAGCTGCTGATCCAATCAATTAAGCTCCGGGGATAATCTCGAAAATCCAATGCGATGATACCTCCATGAATTATAGACATGAATACTGCGTCTCCCACATGCCAGCACAAACTAGCATAGCTCAGTGGGATTTTCCTGGTGTAAACAAAGGGAAAATTGGATTCATTTGCCCAATCAGCCAAGCATGAATCCAATCACAAGCAGGTAAAAAGGTAAACCAGGCGGCTGCTTTAAAAAGGCAGATTTGGGGGAATGACATACAGCAGAGGACACCGTGCAAATCAATTCAGCAGTTTTATTAGCCAGTGGACTATACACGTTTCATGCAGACTGTGAGTTTCTTCCAACTCCCGCTGAGGACAATGTGCTTCGCTTCATGTGGGTTGGTCCTGTATTAAGGTACTTGGTTCCTGGTCTGTAGCACCGGTGGTTTTATCAGAGGTCCTGCAAGCAGAAAAAGAAAATTATTCTGCAGCTGTTTAGATGCAGCAGGTAATGCCGGGCTAGAGAACGCCTCCCCCAGACTGCAATGAATCACTGTACAGTGCATCCATTTATTATATGCCCAATAAATGATTCATAGGCCGTCAATAGTGATGGCTCCTGCTCTCACTTAGGAGCTGATCCAAACCCTTTTAAAGTCGATGAAGGTCACTCCATCAACTTCGCCGGGCTTTAGATAGGACCTAATTCCATCGGTTTGTTCTGGGTTAGCACATGACCAAGACCAGGTTCAACCAAGCTACAATAAATGCTGCCAATTGATTGCAACCTGCGTCAAAAGCCGAAGAGCACCTTGCTGACAAACTGTGCCACAGATAAGCAGTTTGTTTCCCTGCAAAGCTGGCAATGAATGCTGGTGAATACCATCTAAGGGAGCCACATGCTATAAACTCAAGTGTGAATGGTTTATGTTGAGTTCCTGGAGGAATCTGGATGTGTTGGTTCCTGCCATATGGTTAAAATGTTGGTATTGATTAGAGATCTGTGCAGCTGGTGTACATCAGCAAGGCTGCAGCGGACTCAGCACCAGCATCCACCAGCTGCAAACCCAAGATGAGAGGGACTTGGAGTCGGTGCTTGATAGAGGAAGGGACCAGGAGAGATTGGGACTAGAAGGAGATGTCTCCTTGGAAGTGGAGGAAGAGAAAAGAGGTCTGTGGGACTGGAGGCGAGAGCAGAAAGCATTCGGGTTGGGGCGGGGATCAAGTAGGGTGCTGGAACAAATGAATCCACAATGGTTGGGATGGAAATGCAGGGGATGATTGGAGCATGTAGGTTGGGAAAGGATTTCTGAGGGCCAGTAGAAAAGACCCCAGGTCACATTTAAGATGACCGCTGTCACCTGATGGTTGCTTTCCCCATCTTAAGGAATCGAACTATCTTTTGGAAGGAGATTCATACGCAGGCCTCAGATTTGTGTGAGGACTGATTACCATTCAGGCATTAAACACAGAGTCTGTTTGCGTCTAATGACTTGCTGGAGTGACTGTAGTTATATTAACATCTCAGCCACCCAAACCCAGCGCACTTCTGGCTGGCAGCTTGTAAGAGGGACTTTCCCTGCAAGAGCAGAGCATGTTAGGGTGCACCAGTGCACAGACTGGATCAGAACCAGTTTGGCTTATGCGCCCAGGGTTATCTGACCTCCGTATGCACCGGGAGGGAGAATTTGCTGCTGTAATATATTGTGAACGGGGCCTGCAGGCCCTACTTCCCATGGGAGGTCTCTGGAGCATCCTCTGAGTAGGCAGTGAGCTGGTAGCTTGGCTGGTTTCCAGAAATGGGCTGCGTTGTGAGCCAGCTGAGTGCTTTCCATCTTCTCATTTCTGAGAGATGCCCCCTCGTAGGAGATACAGGCCCACAGCTCCTCCCTTAAGTGATTCACCCCAAGGGCCTGATGCATTTCTGCTCCTCGTGGAAACCTCACTGGGGACCGCCACCGCAAAGCAGAGCAGGTCCCCTGAGCTAGGGGAGCCCTGGGCATGGGCCAGCCTGCTCACGGTGCTTATGGGTGCACCTAGCACTGCAGGAAGGCAGCTCCGTTGCATCCATACTGGGGGGACCGCGTGCAGAGAGCGGGTGCGCTGTGTTTTGCCACGGCGCTTCCCAGTGCGTGTTTTTAGAGGCCGAAGTCGTCTCCCCATCAGTGCTGCATCAGTGCAAGCGCCCGCATCCCTCGTTGCACATGTGTGCAGCCCCCCTCCTCCTGCAGCGGGGGGGGATCTGGTCTCCTCGGCCCCTCTGCGGTTCTTTTCTACCCTGCTAAGACCACCGGGGTTTGGCAGACGGCTTTAGGCTGCAAACACCTCTCCGCTGGGAACGGAGCGGGGGCCATCCACTCTTTTCACATAAGTTATCGAATGGCCGCGATGCTTGTAGTCACATAGCAGGAGCCTGCTGTGAACCAGCCTTGTGAAGGGAATAGGGTCTGTCTCCCATCATCCCCCCCCCCCCCCGCCCTCCC